TTTAAGATCTGGGTATGTGGATCAAAGGGAGAAGGCAAAGATCTGGGTTCTTGATGGAAAAATTGACAAATTGCAGCACTGATGAGTTCCTTCTTCTTCTTCTTCTTTTTTTTTTTATGAATTTATAGAGGATTTATTTATTTATTTATTTTTTCCCTTTGAAGTCTCACTAGAGGCTTCATCTTCTCAAGTTTAGTTTGACTATTTATTTTTAATTTAATTTATTAATCTTAATTAATTTATTAGGAGTAAATTAATGTTGTAACCTTTATTAATTAGTAGTTTAATAGATTAAAATTTATGATTAAGAAATTTAAGTAATTCTTAAAATATCATTTTACAATTTTACCTTTTAATCTTTATCATATATAAAGGTCGAAATTGTCTTTCCAATACAGTATAACCATGTTAATGCCATTTTAGCGTTAATGCCATATTAGCACTTTCATTAACGATGTTAAGGGAGGGACCACAATGGCCTCTTCACAAAAGTTCAGGGATTGTTATGAATTTTTTTTCTGTAGAGGGATGACAATGACTTCTATAATAAAGTTCAGGGATTTTTAACAATAGTAAGCCTTTGTAAATATTATATTTTTTATAAGAAAATGGTGAGATTTATATTAAAAAATAACAATGCAAAGCGAGATTTCAACTCATTATAAATGGTGAAGATATAAATACAATTTTTTTCTGTCATTTTTTTATAGAACTTTTCATGTCATTAAATAAGTACATGTATTTAATATTATAAATTTTAAATAAATAAAAAAATTATTTTAATAACAAAAAAAATAATACAAAAAAATTATCCTTAAATCATTTTTCCGTTGTATATACTAAAATCATTAGCTCGCTTAAGGCTATGACTAAGCCACTTACCATTAAGTCTCTCCATGCACACAATTATCTTACAATATCCTGAAACTAGTATGAAGAAATAAACATTTAAGAATATCACTTAATCTTTACAAATAGTAACATGTTACAGTCATATGGGCAACAGACCTTGGTTTCATTTGATATTAGACCACCTCCTTGACCGTTCAACTGGCGAGAAAGTATTGATGATGCTGTAGACTCCACAGGAGAATCTTCAATATCTTTTGTATAGAGTTGCAGACAGATCATGTTTGAACGTCGGCTAGCCTCCAGAACAAAATGGAACTTGTCATCGTGGCAAGATGAATATTCTGAAATAAACAAAATGATATCAGTCAATCAGAAAGCGAATTAAAGCAGAGGAAATGTCAGGTTACATAGCTAGTTAACACTTAAACCTCACCTTTGCAGTGTCAAAGAGGTTAACAACTTACAAGTGGAAGTCTCTTTGCAACCAAACAACATTGCCATCAGCCCCATGGAACACCTAAACAATCACAGAAAAAACAGACTGGAGATAACAAGAAAAGAATCACTCTTTTGAAGTAAACTAGAGATACTGCAACAAACATGCTGCTCTTATTCTATTCTTTGCAACAAAACAGAAAAAAAGAAAAACTAACTCAAAAATGAAAATGACAACAACAGCTATAGATTTACTTGAGACCAGAAAAAGAAAAAAATTCAAACTAACAAACATTTTGAATGGCACCTTGCAAATATTAGGATCAGCAAATACTGGATGAAGAATAGTCATTGAATCATGTAATGCAATTGTATCCACCAAATAATCATCCTTCTTACTAGAAGTCTGCTATTCCAACCAAAACAGAAACATGAAAGATTTCCATCTAAATAGTTAACATCAGTACACAACAACCTGTATTAAAGCCGTAAAACCTAGAAAGGATCAGCTAGTTGAGTCAATTGCGACTCGGTATCAACCCAAACATAAGAATCACTCATTTCCAAGTCTACATCGACGCCTTCCAAAAACTTAAACTCAACCGACGGATTATCGACTAATGCCATGATATCCGCTTCATATGGTTGCGATTTCTGTTCAAGACCGTCAAGGTTCAGGTGGTTGAACGGAGAGTAGGAATTATCAGCTAAGACGCGCTTGAAAGTGTACTGAGGCTTAGGATCGGTGTGTAAGTAACAGCGAGCGGCGCGGCGGTTCTTCTTCTGATGGCGTCTTCGGAAGATGATTGAGAGAGCTGCGACGGATGCCATTGAGAGTAGAATGATGAGCTTCTTCTTGCTGTGCTCCATTTTTGCTTCAGTCTACACTGTCTAGAACGGGAGAAACCTAAGCGGCGATGGTGGATTAACGTGGCCGCCAGCCGGCTGGCAGGCCACTCAGCAAGTTTGGTGAGTGAGGGCGAATCATGCATATTAACCCTTGAACTTGTAGAGTAGTGTCAAATGAGCCCTTCAATCCAAA